TTCTTTGATTTTTGGCATTCAGAATACTAAAATGTTAGATTTCATAAGGCATCATATCTTAGTGCGAATAAACTGAAATATTATCAGATTTGAGGGTCAAACAACATTTTCTAGAAAAGAAAATGGCGGTGGGCTACCTTAAACTTTTAGAGTCATTGCTCTAAATAATTCATAGCCGACGTTATGTGACTTGGCTAACCTTTTAAAGTAAAGAAAAGAGAATTCTTGGAAAATACGGTGTAAATTCAGATCTTTCGCGATTCTGCGAAGGTTTAAGTATTGTTGAGCTCGTTGAACACAGTTTTATGCGCAATCTCATAATGTCGAACATCATCGCCAATTACATATAGGAAAACAAGCTTTTCTTCGTCATATGAATAAAGGGGTAAGTTTCTAAAGAAACTGTGGTGCTGCGTCGGTGGGAGAGTATAGCAGGTAATTTAGTGTTAACAACTGGGTTGAAAACGTAAATTAGCCATCGTAAAGGGTAAAAAAGCTTTCGAGCGTTCGAACCTTTACGGTGGCTAATTTACGTTTTCCACCCAGTTGTTAACACTAAATTACCTGCTATTCTTAGTCATAGTGTGCGATTTATTTGCGACCTACACGAGGTGTTATTAAAATTATATTTCAGTTAAAATTTCTCGTCAATACCATGGTTTTTGTTTAAAGGAAAGCTAAAAAAAAGTAATTTGAAATGATAGGAAAAACTGTTTCGAGCTGTTTTCTTAGCAGCTCTAAGTCAATTTTGGACACAAAAATTGGCTATCTTTTCTCAGTCGGAACAATGTTATGCTAAGCTAGAACAACTTTTTAGTCCAACAGTTATTTACAAATTAAAAATGATAAGCAATGATGTACCACAGCTTTTGAGGATGCATGACGAACAGAGGGTAGTTGTACGGAGAAAGTATGCCGTGAAGCAAGATTGTAAATTATACTACCCCACTGTCGGGGCTCAGTGATGTTGTAGCCACCGAAAGATCGATTTAATGGCCGCCACAATAGGCTTTGTGTTTCACATTGTTTGGTCTGAAATGTATCTAAAGCCGTACAGCCCACAATAAGCAATGGGTCTCGCTGATACTGTCACCATCGACAGATTCATATCATCGCTGCCACAACAGGGTTTGTGTTTAAAATTGCTTGGGTTGAAATGTATCCCAATGCCATACAGCTCACAATAGGCAATAGGTTTCATTTGTGAACATACATCGATGCGATACTTCCTGCTGTGAGATAGGCTAGAAAATATTTTTCTATAGATGAGGCCCGTAACTTGAACGCCGCATCGACTGCTGTCTGAAATAGGCTCGCAATGGAGATGTTGACGCCGCTTTTCGTTCGGAACTTCGAAAGCAAGTATCGAATCTTTTTCCTCCGTCTGCCGTGTAAAAACTTCGAAAGATGTGATAACTTAGACATGTAAATTCTAAAAGATACATATTAATTTTACTCCCCTAAGAACACACTCTCACCAACCTGCGCAAAGAGATCGTTTGCAAAGAATACACGGTCGAAAACACGTGAAATGGCGAAACATACTTCATTTCCAGTTGAAGCCAATGGCATCATGCCATATAAGTTGCACCTCCCAAGGGATCATGTTGAAGCCAATGAAATTGTACAACATAGCAAACTTTTGATGTATATAGCATTTCTTACACCATGGAACGACCGAATTTTAAACCAGGCTTTCCTCAGTTGAGGTAGCTCAGGAATAAAAGTTGAATTACACGCACTACACTTAGCAAAATCTCGCTGATAGTGTTTTTGTTTGTTTGTTTTTTTGCAGGGCACCTCATGGCATAACGGTGTGGTGGAAGCCAGCAAGTTCATATTGAATGGCTGGGGAAAGTACTGCAGTTGGGGCAGAGGCAGCCAGGGCCGTTCTTGAGGCATCAGCGTCAATCACTGGAGGGGCCCTCTCAGTCTCATTGAAAATTGACAGCCCCATTGTGGCAGGAGTTGCCTTGGCAGCGGGTGCGGCGGTGACGTTGGGTGCATTTTATTTACGTTACAGGTGGAAAACAGAAAATGCGATTAGAAATAGCCTAGAAAGAATGAATGCGATTGGAGCAGCTGATCCTGAGGTCATAAATATTGAAGAAGGTTCCATCATTGTGAAACTCCATTGCCATACACCGCAGAGTGTACTACAATTTGTGAAGGACTTTAAGGAGAAGAAAGTGAAGCGTCGATTGGAAGAAGAGCTAAAAAAAATTGGATTTGACAAAGAGTTAGAAGTAACTATCGTAAATGGCCAAGAGGTATTCCAGAGAGAACAAGAACTAAGGTAAAAAACGAAATCAATTCTTTGTAGATAGTTTAATGAAACTTTTTCATAAGAATTCTAAAACTCCAATTTTACATTTGACAATACAATCTTTCTCTGAATATTTCTACTCAGAAACACGAAACATCGCAATAAGCTCAAATTTTATAACTTTTAATAATCTCCTGCAGGTCTTTACTTGAACCTCAAGAAGACGTAAAAGTAACTGTTGAGGAAGTTAGCCTAGGTGAGTATCAAAGCGGGAAGTCTTCAAATAAACATAGGTTCAACGAGGAACCGCAGGGTCTTGGCCAAAATCCCAACTAAACCAATGCATTCCTCTAGTATTTGATACACTCAAGTTGCCCCTCTCAACGATTATCGCTCTGAAAGCTAACAAAGTATAATATTATTTGTATTAAATTTAAGAATGTTGACGATAGCATACTCTGTGCGTTAGCATCGAGAGGGGCTCAAGAGAGGGAATTCGTAAAGGATCGATACTAAACTGATACCACAAAAAAATTGCGAGGAAACCGAGGGCGAATCATGCTACACCATACAAGCTATACAAGTAGGCGTGATTCAGCTTCCAAAGCTATTGATAACACCTTTAACGGATAGGCAGATCTCGTAATCGTGTATCAGTGCAATCGAACAACATAATGCATGATTTAGCTACATTAAGAAGGCCTATCAAAATGTCTACTTAATGACAAAATTCAGCGCTTTGATCAAATTTAATTGAAATATAGAGTGCCTCAGGGTTCTCTTTTAAGAGCACTGTTTTGCTTTCTACATCGTAATTGATCAATCGTAATTGTTGGACATCAGAGGAATCCGCCAGGGTTACAGGGTGAATTTTTGAGCGACAATATTTCCTAGAGAGGTATATGACGTGTATGAGTTTGTAGTATAATACTATAGTGACAATTTTGGACAGTAAAAAGCAAGATCACTTCTCAATTGAACGAAGCCTCAAACTAAGGAGCACTTAGCCGAATGCAGTACGATAAGATTCCAATTCAGTTGAAATGCTATATATTTTCAGCTTACCTCGGAACTAAAGGTCTCTAACAACTATTTAATATGAATTACTTCCTTTTAAGACTATTTAAACTTTCTTTAACGTGCAATACTTCGAATGGAAACAAACTGTCCTTGGTAACTTAAGTCCCTCTGGCTCATGAAAACGGAAGATTGATACTAACCCCCCCCCCCCCTCTTTAGTATTTTTATCCTTTTATGGATAGCCTCCATCATTTTATGAGTATCTTTTCTATGTGTGATACGCGCTCAGGAATTTGAAATCGATGTGGTGACTACGTTGACTTCGTAAACGTGCATTTATTTTTGGCTTGCTTAGGAACTATATTTCTAAAAACTTTCTGATCGTTAGTTGTTTTGATTTTGAACTATTTAAACTTTGGTTTTGAATTGTAGTTTACATGAAATTACATGAAATAAGGATGATCAACAGTTTTACATTCAAATGTTACTGAATCAACTGATGTGCTTAGTGACTCAAGTCCTCCAGGCTTTTAAAAAGTGAGAGGTGAAAGTGACTCACCCTACCCCTCTCTGTCTTTGCATGCATGGCCTCCTTGTGATTCGTACGGCGCTCACTAAATTAGAATGGATAACTTGGCTTTACAGACCCTGCTGACTACATTAGTTCCTTTTCTTTAAACCTTGCCGGTCTGCATTTGTTCTACGCGACAATTCAGCTCTCTTATATAGGAGTGTTCTCATCATCTCAGCCCGGGTCTGGATGAATCTTCATGTCGTAATCTCTCATTTTTTTCCTTGCAAACATGTCAGATTTTGAGAGGGTGTGGAAGTTACTTATCTGTGCTAATAAATCATAGAAATCTTCACTAACACAGTCTCTCAAGTAGCACACTACATTCTATATTATGTACAATCGGTATATATGTTTTTCAATTGGATACCAACAACTCAATTTTTTTTGTTAAATGATATCTTAATAAAAGTGGAAGAGATGATTTTCTTGAGAAGGGTAAAGCGTAGCTCATAAGAGATGTAAAAATGACCATGAAAACTAACCTGCCCACAGCCATTTGTTCGACTGATCATTTTTACTGTGTGCACGGTTTTACCAAATTAAATATACAACTTTTTATGTTTCCTTTGAGGATTTACCGGAAACGTCTGAGGAGCGGTTAGTTCCATTAGTTCCATTGAGAACAAACTGGCTCAAAATCAAGTTTTCGGAGTTAAACTTCGGCAAAAAATTGTTAATTATCAGTCTCCTTTGTAATGGATCATGGAAATCTCTATTATCACACGGCCTTAAAAGCTGTGCACTAAATTAAAAACAAAATTAGGGACGGTTTTATCTAGAAAGATAACGCAGTTAGCGTTTGTCAATCTTTTGGTAAAAGTCTCTGCATAGTTCTGTTATGGTTCATGTACGTTCACCAAGTTTAATTGGATAACTGACTCTGGTGGCTCTGCTGACTATTAATTCCTTCCCTATTACCATCCCTCATAAAATCAGCGGGGCTTGAATGTACTTTCATACCTTATAGTAATTAATCACTTTGTTTTCATTTTAGAGGAGACGAAGAGTATGGAAGGTAATTTATTTGTTATCTATGATAATGAATCCTAATAACTTCCATTTTGACAGTGTTTCAATATTCACTCTATGAGTAAAACATTGAATACGTATGTATGTTTGACCATAGTTAATATACTCAATAATATTTTGAGTTTCATTTTCTTTATTTTATCATAGCGCATTCTATGGACTTAAGCTAGTTTAAGTATCGTTCTATAAATTTAAAAACAATGGCAACAACGTTCACCAAGTTTGATTGGATAAGTTGACTCTGGTTGCTCTGCTGACTATTAATTCCTTCTCTTTTCCCTTCCCTCATAAAATCAGCTGGGGCTTGGACGTACTTTTATGCCTGATCGTATTTTTTTATTTTGTTTTCTTTTCAGAACGGCTCAAGGAGATAGAAGGTAATTATTCCGCTGCGCTAATAAATCATAAAAAAATTCACTATCGGCACAAAGTTATCCAAGTAGCACACGAAAGCCGAGATTGTACACAGTCCATATGGATTTTTTTTCAGTTCTCTTTTATTTTCACTACGGGGGAAAAAAAGAGGGAAGTTAACTAACTGTGACAATGGATCATGGAAATCTCTATTATCGCACGGCCTTACAAGTTGTGCAGTAAGCAAGAAACAAAAGTAGGGACGGTTTTATCTAGAAAGATAACGCAGTTACCGTAAAGTCTTATGGTTCATGTACGTTCACCAAGTTTATTGGATAACTTGACTTTTGTGGCTCTGCTGACTATTAATTCCTTCCCTTTTAGCTTCCCTCATAAAATCAGCGGGGGCTTAGATATACTTTTATACCTGATCGTAATTTCTCATTCTGTTTTCTTTTCAGACCAGTTAAAGGAGATGAAAGGTAATTATTCGACTGTGCTAATAAATCATAAAAATGTTCTTTATCGGCAGAAGGTTTTATCTATCTATTTGTTATCTATGATAATGAATCCTAATAACTTTCATTTTGACAGTGTTTCAATATTCACTCTATCTATGAGCAAAACATTGGATATGTATGTGTGTTTGATACTAGCAAATATACTCAATAA